TGTCTCGTTTTCTCTCCGGCTTCAACACGGCGACTGTGCCAATGTCTATGTCATTGCTTTGTCCCTGTTAGAGTGTAACTATTTCTCGGTCCAAACTGTTGAGTTTAAGCCTTTAAATATATTGCTTTTTTGCCTCCCTTGCATTTTCATCGTCTTCTGACCTACGTCCCACGATAGAGAGTATTTTTTTGTCACTTTGTCTTTTAAAAGGGGGAGAAAAAAATCTTGTGTTTGTGACTGGACGGTGTCTAACCATTTCCGGGTTTGTGTGTTTATTTTTTTTAGTGGGGTGACAGGGTTTTTCCTGTCCAATGTTACACATGGCCTCTTCGTGCTAGTGAATGGTCGGTCTGTCTGTCGTCCCTTCCGAGTGCACATGATGGCTACCCAAAGCCCTTGTCTACTACTAGAACACCAGCACAGCTCATACACACCCTCTCTGCAAGGCTACCTCGTCCCAGGGCAAGGCACACACAGCAGGCTCCAATGACTTTAGCGCCAGGACTTGTTCTAAACATGTTTCGAAGTCTGACCAATTGGCTGGAGCTTGTTGTGTTACCTTCGACTGCCTTGAGGGAGTTCGCCGCAAGGAGCTTGACTCAGACATGCAAACCTAGAAAAGTTTTATTCGTTTTTTTTTTTTACGTAATGTGCCGTCCTTTCTTTATTTTTCCTACAAAATATTGCACTTCTTACAAAAAGAGAAAAAAAACAAATTAACTACAGCATCTTCACACAAAATGAACTCTATGTCTTTATGTGAGAGAGAGAGAGAAAAAAAAAATTGGACAAAAAAAAAGGTTCTGACTTCCAAAGCCAATTTTACATTAAGATTCAAGATACCAAAGTCGACATACACAAGCCAATGTTTTTTAGCCTCAACACTCGCCCGCACTTAGGCCAGGTTAGCTTCTCTGCAGGTCCTTGTGGCAGTCTGCATATGTTCGAAGTCACACCCTGCACTCAACACTAATACTTCTGACATAATGACTGATTAACCCGTAAGATGCAATGAAACTTTGGCAGGCGCTAAGACAGCCACGATTGTCAGAGAAAAGGAAGAAAAATAATAAATACTATTTAGAGAATAATAATAAAAAAATGAAAGATCTTCAATGCGATCATCTTGCAGTATGTAACCTAGTTACAGTTACAAGGTAAGATCTATCAAACCACTGAGTTCAAAAAAAATCAGTAGGCATACCATATGAGCAAATAAGGCAGTGCAACACCTCAACATATATATCACCCTATTTATGTAAATGCCAAATGAAAGAAACTCCATCATCCTTGCCACCGGGATTTCGCCCTACAAGGGGAAACCCCGACAAGGGAAGAACTGAAGGTCTTAACGTACATATTCTAAGGGGTAACTCAAAAAAAAAGAGAGAGTAGTTCCAATCGTGTCTTCTATCCCAGCCTAGAAAAAAAAAGCCTGTGACTTGGCCGGGTTACACGTCCAAGCTCTGCCGAAACCAGGGTATTTTGGCAGCGTTCCTTCCCTCGCCTGGGCAGCGTGGCCGGCACCTCCAACGACGCACACTCGGACCCCGCGCCCGCTGCGTCGTCTCCCACGCTCTCTGAGATTCTCCTGAAGGGGGCCTCTCTGCTCGCCACGAGACTCCGGTCATCGTCCTCGTCCTCCTCCTACTTCTTCCACCTCCTCTGCTTCCTTTTTTCTCGTTCTACTCGTCTTCTACTTCCTCTTCTTCCTCTGCTTCTTCCCTTTCCTCGTCCTCCTTTTCCCTCTTCCACCACCTCCTCCTCTTCGTAGTTCTCACCCTCCTAGCAAAACACCGGCAGGAGAGACTCTGACGACGGGCGTGGCGAGTCGGGCTGGGCACTCAGCCAGTGACTCGCGGTCTCCCACGAGTCTCCGGCGAGGCGAGGCAAAGAGGCGGAGCGAAGAGGGAAGGAGGGGGGAGGGGCTCTCCACTCCCAGGGCACGAAGACTGGGCATCACTACCGGGGTCTCGGGCGTTGGGCATGAGGGCGAGGCGCATTTCACCCGAGAGGGGAAAGGGGGAAGGAGGGGAGGGAGGAGAGGACCAGTCACCTAGTCCCCTTCCATCGTGCCCCCAGGACGTGCCCCCGAGGACGATGACTCCGGGTCGAGTGCGCGAGCGAGTCCCCGGTCCCGAAGCGAGTGGTTCCGCACCGGCCGCTGCCTTCGACGTTTCCTGCTTGCTCCTGCTTCCTGCTTCTGCTTCCCCGGACCTACACAGAGCTTTTTAGTTTAGAGAGATCGAGAACAGTGAAATGGCAGCACTTTTTTTTCCCGAGTGGCTTTTTCCGGATCAGGACTAAAGTCTCACGCAACATGTACCTCCTCTTTCTTTTCCTTTCCTTTCTTCTCCCAAAACGACGAAATTCACACTCTCAGGTTCGTTGAATGGATGAACTTTTTTCCCTTGTGCTAAGTAAAAAACTGAGTATAAAGTCTCTCCTCCCAGTCGCGTCCCGGGGTTTTGATTGCATTTGCAAACCAAGAGGCTGACTG